CCCGCACCGCCCCCGCGCCGCGCTGCGCCCCGACCTGCCCCACGCCCCTTGCCTTCCAGTCCGTCCTTCCTTGCAGCCCCGCTGCGCCCACGCCTGCCCCAGCTGCCGGCTGCGGGCGCCAGGCCCTAGTGTCCGAGCCGCGCTCGCCGTCCAGCCCATGCTGGCCTTGGCTGGCCGGCTCCTGCCCCGCCACTCTGCTCGGGGGCGTCCTTTGCAGAGTCCATGCCAACAGGCCCCAGCCTTGCTGGACACACCTTGAATGGGCCGCAGCACGAGCTTGCCCTCCCCACCCCCCCCAGCGCCGGAGCTGCCGGGGAGGGGCCCAGAGGCGGCCAGGCCGTGGGGGTAGTGGCCGGGCCGCGCCCTGCCCCAGAGGAGCAGACTGCCCTGGGCACCAGCCTGGCGGTGGGTGCACTGCCCTCCCACAGCAGACGCCTGGCCAGCGAGCCCCTGGTGGGAGCCCACACTGGCCCTGCGATTGAGGAAAGGCCCGGCCGCGCCTTGCCTGTGGGGTTCAGGTTCCAGCGCGGGGTAGGCAGGCGCGCCCCTGACTACCCAGGCGACGGCCTCCCCGCCCAGTGAGCCCAGGCGCTGCGGCCGGCCCGCGGCCTTAGGCAGGGGCCCCTTCGCCGATCAGCGCTGCCGGGGCCGGGCACCAGCCCGTGGCTCTCCGTGCCATGGTCCTTGGACCGGACCCCGGAGCAGAAAGCTGGGCAGCTGGGTCCCAGCGCCACAGGTGGTGCAGCCAGCCCGTGGGTCACGCTGCCCTGGTGGCTGCAGATGCTCCAGAAGAAAACCTGTGTCCAGGAACAGCAAAGCAGCTGCCCGCGGCTCCAGGCTCCGGGGCTCGCGGGGCCGTCCACCCCGCCGGCTCTGAGAGCCACGGCCGAGACAGGCCAGTGAGCTGGGCCCCGCAGGGCGGGCTGCTCCCCAGTGACCCCAGGCGGCTCAGTCACCAGCTCCTCGTTTTCTGTGAAAACAGGTGACTCCTCGTGGGGCTTGGGGTGCCGTGCCCCAGCGTCTTGTCCCCGTCCCCCTTGCGTCTTCAGACCCTGGGGCAGGTGCGGGGCACCAGTCCTGGGGTTCGCAGGCGCCGGGACTCCTCGCCAGGAGCCCCATGTGAGGGGCCGAGGGAGCAAGCAAGAGCCACTGGGGCCTCTGGGGTCCCCTGCCCAGACGCCCTGGGCCCCCCGCCCGTCAGGTGTGTGGCCGGCGGCTCTACCGAGGCACCTCAGCAGGGCCCGCGGGTCCCCCTGCGGGAGCAGCCCGTGCCCAGCGCAGGCCGCCTCCTCGCAGGCCTCCCCGGGGGTGCAGGGGTGGGGCCCGGCGTGCCCAGAGGCCTGGCCGTAGGGCACCAGCGCGGGGGTGGCGGGGTGGGGGGCGCCTGAGCCCCATCTGTCTTGCAGGAGGGGGTGAAGACCGAGAACGACCACATCAACCTCAAGGTGGCCGGGCAGGACGGCTCCGTGGTCCAGTTCAAGATCAAGAGGCACACCCCGCTGAGCAAGCTCATGAAGGCCTACTGCGAGCGCCAGGTGCGGACCCGCTGTCCCGCCTTTCCTGGGCGCCCGCCGCTGCTGCCGCGGGCAGCTCCGCACGGCGTCTGCTGTCCTCCCACTCCGCCACGCGCCCGTGCCGGGCTGTGTCCCCCGCTGGCCCCGCGGGCTCTGGACAGAACAAAAGCAGGGGCGCAGTCCCCTCCCCGCCCTCCCTCTCCCCAGGCCCCGTCTGAGGAGACTCTGGACCTCAGCTGCCCTGGCTGTGCCCTCCCTGCTCCATCCTGCTGGGGTCAGCTGGCATCAGTCCTGCTGGCGCTGTCCGCTGAGCCCCTGGCCTGTCTGTCCTGTTCCCTTGGGGTGACTGGCTTTCTAGGTGCCCCTCCCGCGGGCAGGCAGCACCAGCACCCTCCGGGGCGCTCCCTGCTGGCCCAGGCACGTGGGGGGCTCTGGCCCGGCCCCTTCTGGCGGAGCCCGCGGTGGTGGCTCTGGAAAGCCCTTGGCCACTGGGGCCTGCCCTGGCCGGGCTTCAGTGGACACAGCTGGGGTCTGTCCGCCCCTCGGGGTGCGCCGGGAGCTGCTCGAGTGGGTGTTTGGGCTCCATCCTGCACCCCAGGGCTGCGCTGCCGTGGCGGCACCTCAGCCGGCCCGGCTTGTGTGGACAGGCTTGCCCGGGCCGGGGCGCCAGGCCCTTGTCAGGAGCCCCCGCGCAGCTGTCCATCCCTGGACATCGCCCCGCCCAGGAGGCGCTCTTCCCCGGCTGGGGCCTGCCGGGTTGAGTCTCCCTTGTGCGCCCCAGAGCCTGTGGGGAGTAGCCCCAGTGGCCAGTAGGGGCCCGCCGGCAGGCCTGGAGGGGCCACACCGCCTGAGCCTCGCCCCTGCCGGTCCGCCAGCGCGGCCGGCTGGGGTTCGGCTCACAGCGCCCCCAGCCTCCCGCCGGCCCCCCATGGGATCATCTCTGAGGCTGCGGGGCCCTGCCCTGGCTGCCCGGCCCCGCGGGTCCACAGGCCAGGGCGCAGCCGAGGACTCCGAAGGGGGACCCGGCGTCCCCAGCAAGGATGCCCCAGTGCCCGCGGGAGGGGGGAGCGTGCCTGGCGGCCGGGGTGCCGCCGTCCCCCACGGCGTCTGTCTGGGAGCTGCGGTGGGAGCCGGGGCGCCCCGCGGACCTCAGCGGCCTGCTCTTCCTTCCAGGGCTTGTCCATGCGGCAGATCAGGTTCAGGTTTGACGGGCAGCCGGTCAACGAGGCGGACACCCCGGCGCAGGTGCGGGCCGCCTATCTGGGGCGCAGCCTGGGTGGGCTCCCGGGGTGGGGAGACCAGTGTCTCGGGGGAGCGTGCCCGCCGCCTGGGGGCGCTGGCGCCGCGGACGCAGAG